ATGTTTAGTTATGGGCCTTGAATTCCTGATCTTTCCAATACTTTTAACATGAAGGGTCGTTGTATTTTGTCAAATGTTTTTTCTGTATCTAAGATATGATCATGTGATTTTTTTCCTTTGAGTTTGTTTATATAGTGGATTCCGTTAACAAACTTTCATATATTGAACCAACCTTGCATCCCTGGGATGAAGCCTACTTGATCGTGGTGAATGATGGTTTTAATGTGTTCTTGGATTTGGTTTGCAAGAATTTCATTGAGTATTTTTACATCAATATTCATAAATGAGATTGGTCTGAAGATCTCATTTTTGGTTGGGTCCCTGTGTGGCTTAGGTATCAGAGTAATTATGGCTTCATAGAATGATTTAAGTAGTGTTCTTTCTGTTTCTATTTTGTGGACTAGTTTGAGGGATATTGGTATTAGGTCTTTTTTGAAGGTCTGGTAGAATTCTGCACTAAATCCATCTGGCCCCAAACTTTTTTTGATTGGGAGGTTTTTAATGACTTCTTCTATTTCCTTGTGTGATATGGGTCTGTTTAGATAGTTTGCCAAAGTTAATTTAACTTTGGTATGTGGTATCTGTCTAGAAAACCATCCATTTATATCTAGATTTTCTAGTTTGTTTGAGTATAGACTTTTATAGATGGATCTGATGATTTTTTTGAATTTCCTCCAAGTTGTTATGTCTCCATTTTCATTTCTGATTTTGTTAATTTGGAGCCTGGACCCTTTACTTAGTTTGGCTAGGAGGTTATCTTATTGATTCTCTTAAAGAAACAGCTTTTGGTTTTGTTGATTCTTTGTATTGTTCACTTTGTTTTTATTTTGTTGATCTCAGCTTTAAGTTTGACTATTTTCTGCTCTCTACTCCTTTGGGTGAGTTTGCTTCTTTTTGTTCTATAGCTTTCAGATGTGCTGTTAAATTGTTAGTGTAAGATCTCTCCAGTTTCCTTACCAGGGCACTTAGTGCTATGAATTTTCCACTTAGCACTGATTTCATTGTGTTCCATAAGTTTGGATATGATATTTCAACATTTTCATTAAATTCCAGGAATTCTTTAATTTCTTTTTTTATTTCTTCCCTGACAAAGTTATTATTGAGTAGAGAATTGTTCAGTTTCCACGTGTATGTGGGCTTGTTGTTGTTTGTTGTTTTTGCTCTTATTGATAACCAGCCTTAGGCCACGGTGATCTGATAAGATGCATGAGATTATTTTGATCTTCTTGTATCAGTTGAAGGTTGTTTTGTGACCAATTATATGGTCAATTTTGGAGAAGGTAACATGAGGTGCTGAGAAGAAGGTATATTCTTTTGCTTTAGCGTGAAATGTTCTGTACATATCTGTTAAATCCATTTGGTTTATAACCTCTATTAGTTTCACTGTGTCTCTGTTTAGTTTCTGTTTCACTGTCCTATCCATTGGTGAGAGTGGGGTGTTGTTGTTTCCCACTATTATTGTAAGGGTTGCAATGTGTGTTTTGAGCTTTAGTAAAGTTTCTTTTATGAATATGGGTGCTCTTGCATTTGGGGCATGGATGTTCAGAATAGAGGCTTTCTCTTGGTGGATTTGCACTTTGATGAATATGAAGTGTCCTTCCTCATCACACTTGATAACTTTTGAAAGTCTATTTTACTGTATATTAGGATGGCAATTTTAGCTTGTTTCCTGGGACCATTTGCTTGGAAGACCTTTTTCCATCCTTTTACTCTGAGATAGTATCTGTCTTTGTTATTGATGGACTCTTGGCACTCTCAAACCCTAGACAAACTGAATTCTTATGTTGCTTTGTATTGTGTGGTTTTAACATAACATCAGAATATTAAATAATACTATAACCTAATCTAACACAAATTACATCCCCAGAGAGCTCACTCGAAACACCATTATATTGACATGGTTTCAATTGAGAGGTTTTATGTAGATACAAATTTAGCTCAATACACTGTTTACTGACCAGGCAAGAGAATGTAACAGAAATCCTAGAGACTTATCTACATGTGAAACCATCCTACTATTAACATCAGGGATTTCCAAGAGTCAGGTGCATCATCTCAAATTGAAATTCTCTAACAATAGTCCTTACCCTTGTGTGTATGTATGTGTGTGTGTGTTTGTGTGTGTGTATACTTGTGTGTTCCCATGTATGTCTGTGTATGTCTCTGAGAGTGTTGATGGCAAAATTCAAACTCTAAAACAAAATTTATATCATGAATATATAGAAAAAATAAATTAATAATTAAGTGCTATACTAGGGGGGAAATTTTAAAATGCCATGAATCATTTCATAAATATAAAGTAATATTATATTCAGAAATTAATTTGAGATGACTCAATTAGAAAGAAAGAAGTCAGATAAAGAAAAATATCTCTTGAAATCAAAATACAGTATCATAAAATTGTTGTATAAAAATCAGTTACAGAAAGTAGCATTTAAGACATTTCCGGAAACATCACAAATAGAAAATTAAAAAGAAACCTGATAGAAAATATGTAAAGCAGAACCACAGTCCAGGAGGTTCAAGCTTGAAAGAATTATCAGAAATCAAGAAGCATTGACAATGATAACAATGAATTGATGACACTGCCAAGTTCTTCTGCTTGCTTGAGATTAAATCATGCTTCTTGGAATCATATTTATAGCAGTTTTCATTTGTTGTTTTGTTGTTTTTTCAGGAGCAGCAATTTTCTTAGGCCTTTCCTTTTCACAGGTCTAAAGCTTAACTGGGCATCATTTTGCTTGCCTAAGGACATACTTCCCTTTACTCTATTATGGACCAGGTCTCTCTTAGCTTGGCTCCATCACTAAATTCTCTGGTATCATTTTTCATATATATATGAAAATATATATGAAAACATATATGAAAACATATATATATATATATATATATACATACATATATACTTTTCATTGTTTTTTTATGGATTTTATACCATGCACCCCAATGCCACACATCTCTCTCTTCCCTTATACTCAACCTCTACCTTTGGAGCCTCCCCCCATCTCACCAGTAGGGAACATCCTCATTGTGGAAGCTGTAGTGTGTCATAGTGTGTCCCACAGTATACTCTGTCCACATTTCTTTGCTTGCAAATGTTCATTGCAGTGACTACATGGTCTGGTATGAGGCCTCTGATTTCTGCTACTCTAGTGATACTAGAACTTCACTGGAACTCCTCTCAAATATCCTGTTGTTCACCTGCGTCATGACGATCTTGTGGTTTTGGATTTGTAGGAAAAGTCCCTTTGTATACTCTAGCAGTTGATAGATGGGGTAGATGTTAGGCTGAGCTGATGCAAAGCCCTGGATCTGGAACTGAGATATATTTGAGCTGGTCAATCTTCTGGCTCTTTGGCTTTCACACCCTTAGGGCTGCTCAAAAGGAATGCCTGCAACCAGAGTCAGCTGTGCCCTGTGCAGGATGCAGGGTCAACTCGCTTGAGTGTTGTAGATGGAGGAGACATGGCCATTTTTTCCACTCTCATGACCCCAGGCTAGCTCCCCTGTCTGTCATAAGTGGCAAGGGATAAGGAGGGGTAGAAGGGTGTCTCTCTTTCACCTGCACTACCACATAGCAGACAAGACACAGCGCCGGTTCATCTGCAACCCTCACATCCAGGAATAGCTCTACTACTACCCATGTGAAGTGCATGGCATGTTCTCCTAGAGTGATACAGAAGGTGAGGTGGAGGGACAGCTCTCCTGCTCCCATGATTCTTTTGAGGCCAGCTTTCCCACCTCCTGGGGACGAAAGGGAAGTAAATGAATCTCTGCCTCTGTGATGCAGCAGACATGAGACAGGGAGGGTCCTCCTACACTCATGCCCTTTGGAGTGGCCTAACCTGCAACACCTACATCCAGGGCCAGATCTTCTTTGCTTTCAAGGTGAAGAATAGTGCCTCTCCCATGTGCTGCAGTAGGTAAGTGGTAGAGATAGCTCTCTTACTTTTGATAACTTTGGGCCAGCTCTCCTAACTACAGTAAGTGGCAAGCAGCATGCAGGAGTTATCTTTCCATTCCTTATGTCACCACACTGCAGAGAAGTAATGGGAATAACTCTCCCATGCTCATGCCCTGAGGCTTCCCCACCATAGGGGTCAGCACCACTCTGCTGTCTAGGCAATGTGCAGGACCCGATCTTCTCAGTGCTGCTTCTGGTGAAGGGCAGGGCCAGCTTTCTGGCATTCATGACACCAGGATCAGCTCTCCCACAGGGTTCAGGTAGTAAAGGGGGAAAGGGAGGAGGACATCTCTCCTTACTCCATGTTACCACTCAGGAGATGAGTGACAGGGACAGTTCTTTCATGTTCACATCCTCAGGCCTGCTCCCCTGCAACTCCAACAATATGTAGGGCCTTTTCTTCTGGTTACTGCAGCTGGTTAGGTGTGGGGTCCACTCTCTTGCTCTTACCTGCTAGGACCAGCTATCCCATGATGTCCACTTGAAGAGTGGGGCCAGTTCTGCACAGCCTTCAGACATCAACATGTCTCTAGATGGTAGCACAGATCAGAGATGTCTTCCTGGTTTTGGTGGTGGTGGTGGTGGTGGGGTAACAGTCCTCTGATGCTGCAGTGCCACAAACATAGACATAATCCCTGGTGGTAGCGCAAGCCAGGACCCAACCATGGTCCTAAGTGGTATCACCAGCTACTCACATCAGACTGTTTCTCACTACCCTGGAATCTCCAGTTCTGCCTCTCTTCATTGTGCCCACATCTTTTTTTGTTTCTCTTTCTTGTCTATTTATCCCCCACTTACTTGCCTCTCTTAGTAGTGCTCAGGAGTCTTGGAGTGTCTGGGGTCGTCCCAGGAGTGGTCTCAGGAAAACAACACCCTGCTTGTCTATTATGGCACTAGTCAGGAATAACCTCCGGCATTATCTGCCTCCCCTCAAGGCCTGAATGGCAGTAAACTTGTGGTCAACTCAGGCTAGATCTCTGACTGGTCCTCATGGTGCTGGACTGGTAGTCATCTTAGGTTTACTACTTTTTGGAGGAATGCAAGCCTACTAACCATTCAGATGTTCACATGTCAGAACACAGAGCGTAGACATGGCCTCTCTCCTCTCTGCCACTTACTGATGCAATGGTGATGCAACTGCCATGCTTGCGATGCCTTAGTATTTCTCTAGAGAGAGTTAATGCACACAGGAAAATATACATAAGTTATATGCAAATATTACCATGTTTATTGTGATGGGAAATTTGTGAAACCTCAATTTTGGAAATAGGGTACATCATAGGGTTCTCTTAGAATTATGTCCCTTACAAATACCTATGAAAGACTTCAATTTGATTTCTTATTTATGAATTAAATATGTTTTTGTTTTGTTTTACACTCCTTTTATCCTTTTATATTTCTAATTGTTAAGAATGAGAGAGATGTGTGTGGGCAGGGGAGCAGTCTCAAGCAGAGATTTTTAAATAGATTTAATTAGAGTAGTTTTAAAACCATAATTTGTTTTATGAATATATTCTAAAACAGATAATATGTACCACATAAAGTCATCAGTAAATTAAGCAGAATTATTTTTTAAAAATTAAAATGAATTAGCCCTTAAAGCATAGGGACTGGGGATACACTCACCCTATTTATCCCATGAACACATTCATTGAAAAGCCACTTTGACATTGTTATCATGCAAGAGAATTTGGACAGAGAATTATTAAATGAAGTAAACACAGATTGTGGGTGACCGAGTTGTCTATTTGACCAATGACAAACAGAAGATCGGGAGTGTAATATATGGTAAATATTATCTCAGTGTATGTAAACACAGCTGAATAATAGTCTTTGGAAGAAAAGTAATGAAAACCCAACAGAAAACTAGTGCAAAGGTTTAGGGAAGAAATAACCATTTGAGTAGAATTGAAAAGTTGAGTGTAAGTAGAAAAAGGCAAGAATTGTGTAACATGAGTGATGTGAATAATGACGTGGACCTTAAAATTAGGTGTTGGTGAGGCAATTCAAGAAACCAAAATAGACGCTGTAGAAGCAGGCGAAAGTGTGACCTGCAACTAGATAACATGGCAGGGGCAAGGCAATCCTAACCCAACTTGTGTAGCATACCTTGAGATTTCCCATTCTGTATTCTAAAACCAGACGGCATTATAACATTTTAAGCAAAAAGTGAAATCATAAATTTTCTATTAATTTTGGGGACAAGGTGATGGCAATTGGAGAAGTTACCGTAGAACTCATGGAGAGAAGAGGAGGCATAGAGATGGGGCAGTCTGTTCACTTTGCATGCTTCTTTTGAAGAAAACTGCAAAATGTCACTCATAGTGCATGCATGGAATAAGGTCATCACTAGACATAGTACACAGTTATCACTGTGGAGAGTATGATATATATAATCTCACCCCCACATTTTTCTATAACATTACTTCTCATTTAGTAAAAGATGTCTCATTTAGTTGTACCCTTTATGGTGATAAATGATCTTTCCTGTCCTTGACTAACTATTTGTCTTTGCTTCAGATTTTGAGAATTTAAGGCACTATAACAAAAAACAAAATGTGTGCTCACACACACACACACACACACACACACATCTCAAAACCAGGAAGTTACAAAGCAAAGACGTTTTATTCAAATCAAACCATTGGAGGCTGAAAGTCCGATGTTTTACCACCTCTTCAACTTCCACTGAGATCCTCCTGACAGGTGATAGCATGGTGTAGTGGGAGGTGTGTGAAGATAAGAACTTACAGAGACAGAGGGCATCCAAAGAGAGAAATGGCCAATTCTTTTGTTGTAACAACCAACTCCTGGAGAATTAATCAGTTCAGAAAGAAAGCATCAATCCATCAATACATTGTTCTCAACAACAGCTCAGTGACATCCAGCTTCCTACTATGTCCCTTCTTAATGGTTCCACCACCAGAAACGTGATACTAGGGACCTGACAGTCACAGGTGATTCCATAGGAGACAGTCCACATACAAAATCATGAGGAAAGAACTCTGCTTCAGAAAGAGTGTAATGACTGTATGTGGGGATTCTGACAGGGGGGGCAATTCTTTCCCAAAACTTGTGGTCATAGGTGATCACAATGACATCTCCTGTAGTCATCCTCTCCCTTTAACATTTCTACTATGAAGTGTCTTTCCATACTCCACATCTGTAACTGTCGTTTCTTTTTGTAACGGCCGTCAGGTTCTGCTACTTTGTAAAGGCCGGCCGGTTCTGCTGCTCCGGTCGGCAGGTCAGGGTCTAGCAAGAGAGAGAGTGGGGACAGAGGAAGGGGGAAAAAGGGGCGAGAGACGCAAAAGATAGATACAAGACAGAGTCCGGTGGCGTCTCTTCAAGTCTCTTCTTTATTCTCCTCTCTTCTTACTATATTCTCCTCACTCCTTCAGTCTCCTCTACTCCTCTACTCCTCTACTTCTTCCTACTACTTACTACCTCCTACTACTTACTACCTCCTACTTTCTACCTCCTACTCCTCACTCCTCAATAGAAAGGAAATCCGGGTATTTATACCCTTTACCACGTGACTTGCCCTCGTGGACAATCTCAACTGAAGCCACTATGTCACGTGCCTTGTAGCCATGGATACCAGGAGCACCTGGCAGCTGGGGGCACTAAACAGTGTAACAAGATGTTTATCAGAGTGCGCTCAGCTATTGCAGGCTGTTGAAACAAGTCTCTTGTCAGGGTATATGGCTCAAGATGACTGTAAAGATGATAGCCACTTTCGGCTAAGAGTCGGCTCCCAACACACATTTGATTGGTTCATTGTATTACATCTTTGTTAAAAGGATCGTTAATCATTTATTTACTTTCTCTCAGAATATTAAGACATTCCTCATTTTTAAGCCTCATATCTGAAATCTAAGCACTGTCCCTCATATCCCTTTGTTTTGAAATAGATTGTCTTCATTCTAAAATCTAAACTGTGTCTTACAAAAGCTGCTACCCATAGTTCTGCTGCTATGTTCTTTTAAATCATAATTCCTGTTTTATTTTCTCCATTTCCCTTTCTTTGTTTCCTTTGAGTCAGCATGTCACTATGTAACCTAGTCTGGTTTTGCATAATCTTCCTGCCTCAGCCTCCTAAGTGCTAGGATCAAATGCAGGCTACCACACCCGCTCTACTAAACCATAATCTTGCCTTCCACTGAATATCAGTGAAAATTTCTTAAAGCCTATTCATTTCCTCTAGTAAAAATCCCAAGTCTTTAGGATGTAGTGCCCTTGCTTTCCTGTTTCGAAACTACCTTTGCATTTTGACTTTATAACATTCTTCCTCATGCCTCAAATAGCTGAGAATATCAAAGCTCAACATTTCTCCAAATATTAAAAAAATTGTTATATACATATGGTTTACATAAATTATAACTATATATACATATATAAATTAAGTCCTCAAGCCTCATACTTTCATGCCATTGCTTTTATCTGCAATGCCCATCTCAATTTTCCAATGTCAATTGTCCTTAGTTTTCATGATTCAAATGCATATCATTTTATCTCTCAGTCATTCCTAGTTCTTCCAGGCCCCACTCGTGTTTCTCTACTGCCCCGTGACTATATCTGTCTTGTCCAGATGGTTAGTCTTTTCAAAATCAAGGGTTAAATGTGGTTCACATGTCTGTTTCCTCCCACCACTGATGTGTACTAGATTCACCTATACTAGACACTGAAGAACTGCTTGGTGGGTTAAACTGCATTTCTGACTTAAAAAAAAAAATGGTTCATTAGAAACACTCTTCCTGTCAATTGCTATTCCTCAAACTCAGATGCTTCCCTGTTCCAATTTAAACTTCTACCACATTCAATGTTCACATTCAGGCTGTACGTTGTACTGTCTCACCACCTGAGGCCTATTTAGCAAACTTTTTAATTTAGTCAATGATATCTTCGTGGAGCCCAACCACTGTGAGAGTGTGCATCTTAAAACATTTAGTACAAATACCATTGCTTTGTCTTCAGGATTTCATCAGTTTTAGGGTTTCAAAAAATTCCAAATATTATCAAAAAGAATAAAATTAAATATATAATCAATATGTGTCCTATCTGTCAGGAAAGGCTAAGTAATTAATGCTTTTCTATAGAGATCTCACATTAGTTTTGGGAAAAATTTAAGATCCTATGTTTTCTCCTATAGCTTCACTACCATCTACTAAATATATCAACATTGTGATTTTATTTTAAGAAGTAAAAATCGAACGATACCTAACAGTTCAAAAATTGGACTGTGGACTAAGATATCTTAGATTTAAATCTAACCTCTGTTCCTCTGGATTTCTGTGTCTGGTTGCTAGTTTTCAAATAGGTAAACTTTAAAGAAATAATACATAATTCAGAGCTCACCAAATGGATTAATACACATAAAGTGCTGGAACCACATTTAGCTCTTGCCAATATTAAATCCAGTAGCCATTTTGCAACGAAATTATATTTACATTTAATTCTATTACAGTAACTGGGTACATTTTGATACATTTCATATTGAATATAGTTTGCATAGGTAGGTGGTTGTGTGGTGAGCCATTTATTATTCTGCATAGTGAATTATTTTTGAACTTAAAGGAATTTTCCAGGTTCTGGCAAGAGGGTAAGATGCTGAATCTAGCCAGTGATCCATTCTTCTTAAAATTTTACCTGGATTAATTTAATAAGGTACTTTAATCCAGATTTTTTCAAGGTGATGTCAATCAGACAATCGGTCACACTTCTGGAATTAACCTACCGCCCCAGCCTATATGCTGTCCCTGGCTATTTCTTCTACTTGCCCTGTACAAGGTCCTGAACTTAGGTAGCCCACTGGAGCATGAACTAAAGAAGAATCTGATATCTCTAAACATTCCAGTAATAAATCTAATTACAAAAATTAACTTAGTTTTTATCCTTCACTTAGCGATTGAATTTGTTGATTCAGATATTGATATATGTTTTATAAAGATAGAATTTGCATTGCCCTTTTATTCAAGTACAGAGAAAACTTAACACTTCTAGAATTTCTCAGCACATACAGTGAATACATTTTTTAATTCTTATTATTCTAGAACCTAACATTTTAAGACAATTTAAAGATATTTATCAATATGAGAAATAATCACTGGACGTTGCCTAAAATTGTCTGCTATGCTTCTTGTATCTGTGACTATACAATTTAC